TGGCTTTTCTGCAGGGATAAGCAATCCAGTATCCCGAATATGTGTCAACTGCAGTGCAGATGTATTTGCACCCTCGGTCCTGGCATAAAGGGCTGATATAGCCCATCTGCCAGATTTGTCCTGGCAATTTCCTTCTTCCCAATTCTCCTTTTATGATATTTGGAACCGGGCGCTTATGAGTATGCTGGCACACAGGCCATTGGGCAATTACAGTTTTGGTCATATCCAGTGACATAACTATGCCACGCTCTTGGGCCCACTTGTAAGTGGCCTTTTCCCCAAGATACCCACATTTCTGGTCTGCCTGTTTTGCCAAGCCTTCATGATCCCCTTCCTGAGGGAACTCCAGCCTGGCTTGGGAAATCTTTGCCCAGTTATCAGTGACAGAACTGTAAAGACGCTCAAGTGAATTTATATTGCTATGAGCATCTACATGGAATAGTCACCTTGGTTCTTTGAACCAGTTCCCAAATATCTTTGCATATTGCCTTTCCCCAGACAATTTTAGAATAAATTTTCCAATCTTTGGCTACCCATGTTGGCAGCCAAGTAGCCAATCCATTTGCCACTGACCAAGAATTAGTGTATAGGTGACATTCCCCTAAATCCTCTTGTTTTAAAGCCATGCTTTATGCTGCATATAACTCAGCATATTGGCTACTTTCCCCTTCTCCTGCAGTCTCCAGAAGTTTCCCTGAATGAGGATGATAAGCCACTGCCTTCCAAAACCTTTTCCCTCCTATATATTTACCTGACCCATCTGTAAATCATGCATGTTCCCTTTCAAGAGGTAGCAGCTGATCCAGGACCTTCCCCCATTGCACAGGGGATTCCTGTTCAAGTATAGGATCAGGCTTTACCTCTTGATCCTTCATGGGGGCAGCCACTACTTGCTCATGGAGGGCAGCAACACCACCAGGTCCCACCTTTGTTCTGTCCTGGATGTACCATTTCCATTTTATAATGCTTGATTCTTGAGCATGCCCTAATCGGTGAGTCTTCGGGGAGCATTTAACCCACTGCATAATAGGGATTGTGGGGCGCAGGGCCACCTCGTGGCCTATCGTGAGCTGCTCGGTTTCTATCAAGGCCTAAGAGCAGGCTAACAGTTGTTTCTCAAAGGGCACGTAATTATGCCCTGCCTCTGGTAACTTTCTTCCCCAAAATCCTAAAGGGACTCTTTTCTTCCCTTATTTCTGCCAGAGGCTCCAATTAGCATATGACCCATTTACAGACACATTCAATTCTATTTCGCCATCCTGCATGGGCCATAAGACCAAAGCCCTTTGAATAGCTCCTTTTGCCAATTCAAAGGCAGCCTGCTGCTCATTTCCCCATTCAAATTCACGCTTTTTGCGAGTTGCCTTGTATAATGGAGCCAGAATCTGTCCTAAATGTGGAATATGTTGCCTCCAGAAACCAAATAGTCTGATAAATCTCTGCGCCTCCTTCTTATGCCGTGGTATAGCAAAGTCAAGAATCTTTTGCCGAGCTTTAGGTAGTAGTTCTTGATGACCACAGTTCCAATGTATGCCTAGGAATTTAACTGTCTGACATGGCCCTTGGATTTCAGTAGGATAAATCTCTCAGCTTTTCTGCCTCATATGCATTAGCAGCACTTCAAGCATTTGTTGTAATTCACCCTCATTGGTTCCCTGAATCAGGATGTCATCAATATAGTGGATCATTTGCATATGAGAAGGGAGCTGTACCTCATCCAGGAGCTCAGCCACTATTCTATGGCAAATAGTTGGACTATGCACCCATCCTTGAGGCAACCTGGTGAAGGTGTACTGCCGCCCTTGCCATGTAAATGCATATTCATCCCAATGCTCTTCCACAATTTGAATCATAAAATATGCATTGGCCAGGTCAATGACAGCATACCACATGCCAAGATGCCTCTGAACTCTTTCTATTAAAGTGATCCTATCAGGTACAGCTGTCACAAGAGGTGGGGTGCTCTTGCTCAGTTTTCTATAATCCACAGCCATTCTCCAGGATCCATCAACCTTTTTGACAGGCCACATTGGACTATTCCACATTGTGGTAGTCAGTTTTAAAACTCCTGCAGCCAGTAAATCTTTGATTGTTTGGGAAATTTCTTCATGACCACCTGGAATCCTGTACTGTTTCATGGTTACTACCTTGGTCGCATTTGGGATCTGAACCACAGGCATCTTTATCTTCCCTACTAAAACTGCTCGGTTGGTGATATAACTCTTTACCCCAAATAGATAACGACCATCAAGAAGATTCAAAGTAAGCCCCTTCCATAATATCTATTCAGATTACATACTCTGGGATCAGAACAATCATGACTGTATACTGTTGTTTTGGAAGATTTCCAATTTTCATATCAATTTGGGTTTGTACTGCTTCAATTTGTTTTCAACCCAGTCCCATAATAATCACAGATTGACCTTTAAATTTCTTAGGATTTACATAAATCAAGGAGGCCTTCACTCTGGTATCTACTAGAGCCTTTACTATTTGAGAGGACCAGTTTTTCCAGAATATTTGTAGCTCCATATGGGGTCATCTGTCCTCCTGCATCCAATGTACCAAAGCTTGACCAATATTTTAATATGGATTACAGTACCTACTGTCTCTTGAGGGGTACAGGTCAGAATACTGCTGCCATTCATGGTTCTTCCCCAGAAGAACCAAACTGCTCCCAGAGGGTCCACCATGAGCAAAGGTGGGATCCCATTGACGATCCAGGGGGGGTGCTGTAGGCTGAAGAGTTTCTGACCAGTGTGCTTGATAATTGTGCACTTTTCTACAGGGTTTCTCTAACCCTCTCTGTTTGTACAGCCTCCATAATTGACTGGTGTCAAGACCATCAATTTTAGAGAGAGGTACGCCATCTTTCAATAAAGTTTTAAACAATTGTCCTTGAGACAGCTGACGTCCGGTATTTTTACCATGTCGGGTGTCTCAGTTCCCTGTATACTCCTGGGGGCCCTGTTGACATTGGAATTCTCAATAGCCCTGACACTCCTGGGGAGTTCATTCTCCAAAGATCACCCAACTGATGCATTTTCTCAAATACATCTCTAATGGGATTTCCTGTTTCACTCAGTAAGAGTTACAAGAACATTCTTGTAAGCCAGTGGAGCAGTTCTAATGATTGCATTTCTCATAGGCACAGACAATCGAAGTTGCATCAACACATCAACAGGGCCTACATGAATGGCCAGTTTCATTCCTTCTTCCTTCAATTGCTGTATACCATCCCACAGAGTATACCATGGCCAGTCCGAACCTGGCCAGGAATTCTCTAGGGGGTATTTTGCCTCGCACCCTACAGTGGCTAAAGCCAAAAGATTAGTACTGTCATCATTAGTTCAAAATGCTTCCTGCACCAGAGGGTCTGAACTCAGAGTTACAAACTTTCTGCAGTCTAAGTGATCCAGGCTAACCCCTGATACTCCCTGATCATATAAACATACCATCCAAGCAAACAGGGGCTCTCCTGGTCTCTGAACCGTGCAAAATATCACCGATTTCTTGCTGTGTGAAATCTTCCATTGTAGGTCCATTTACTGGTAGCTTGCTCTCAGAAAATTCCACCTTCCACCTGATGACTGGTCTCACACCTGCAGAGTCATCTGAGGCACCAGCCCCATCAGACTCTGCAGAGTACCAAATATCATCATCCGAGTCATCAGGGTTATGGTGTACATCCACCTGTATAAACTCTGAGTGAACCTTCTTATGACTACATTGTCCCTGTCTCTTCCGACATTTACACTGGGCAACTTGTGCTGTATCCTTCTCAGGTACAGTTTGAGAACTGTCTAGTTTACCAGTAAGGATCTTGTTGAGAGATTCTAATGTCATAATCTGAGCTCGCATACAGGAACATTCAGCCAGTAAGGGATCTTTCTGCTGGTACTGTTTCTTATATGCTGTTAACAGGATCCATCCCTGTCTCCCAAAGGTTACATCATCCTGTGCCTTACTGGAGAATTTTTGAATATTTTCTAATACATCCTGCAGATCAGCCTCTGCCAACCTCTCCCACTGTTCACATGGTCCCCCAAATTTAATCTGTTTAAGGACCAGCAAACTATACACAGGATCTTCCCAACCAGGAATTTCAGACAGGGCCATCTTCATTACCAATTTTGTTTTGCCAATTATTAGGCCAGCATAAAGATGAACCAATAACCAGACTGTATTTGACACAAAAAAGTCAGTACATGGGTGATCGCTGGGGGTACAAACAATTCAATAAGGTTATACATAATTGACATCAATCCCAATGATCCCAACAACAACATTGCATGACAAACAATGTGTGGAATAAACGGTGAAATAAAATTTCCCATAGAAGGGATGGGAAACAATAAGGTCAACCAACCAAACACACAAGACCAAGGAAGCCACATACTAAATACCTACAGAGCTCACATTCACAAGAGCCAGACCTGACTGGGGCCCAGTTCCAGGGAGGCAGGAGGCCCTTCCCCAACAGGAAACTCTGCAAAGTGCATCCACCTCACAGACAGACACTCCCAAATTCCAATAACTAGTCCTAGCTTTTATCCCCTAAGGGGGACACCTGACCTTTGCTTACTTAATGTGGGACACCTGGGGCTCATTTACTTAATGGCTCTGTCTGCAAGGCCGGCCCCACCGTGGAGGGAAGTCTAAAGTCAAACTCACCCCCCCTTTGTGAAGGGCTGTGGGAATCACCCCTATGTCAATCTTAATTTGGGCTTGGGGTTGAAACCCCAACATTTCAATCAGTAAGTTCACTTTCAGTTTCTGCAGCCATGTCTACCCCTTAAGGGCAGTGGATGGTATTAAAGAGGGCACGGTATGCATGGGCAAGTCCCCAACACATTGCAGCAAGTTGTGTGTTCTGTTGGGTTTTGTCAGATGGGCAACACACCCTTTTTCTAAGCACTTTGCCACTTTATTAGGGCCCTGCATTTGTTTAGGAATGAAATTCCAAAATGTTGGGGGTGACCACTGACTCAGACCTTTGCCCATCTTTTCCCACACCCCTTGCCACTCACTATTATCTGACCTCGGGGCAGGTTTCCAGGTACTGCTATTGTTAGAGAAGTGCCACATGGCCCAAAACAACATCTGTCAGATACCCAGAAAGCACAGTGCTGCAAGCACACTGGCCTGGATGATCCAAGAATAGCTAAAACTCTCCAAAACTGAGAGGATCTCTTCCCCTGGCTCACCCATAGAGGGGGTGAGACCCCTAAACAAAAGCCCAGGCAGCAAACAGGTACCGGTTCACCCCCACACACTGCAATACAAGCACATTATAAGCAGTCAGGAGCCAGTATAGCAAAACAAGACCCTTGATACATGTAGCAATACTTAATATATTCTCTTCACAAGTATTTGTTAAGTGATTTAGTTAATGGTTGATAAATGTTTTGTACAAAATAGATTCTGTACAGGAAAAAATCTTTTAGATAAACATTATTTATTTTTACTGTTTTGTAAGTTAGACACTATAATGAAGCTCCTTTTTGCCAGAATTACTGGAAGTGCCTCTTGGTAAAATGTATTATACAGTAAATACGTATTCAAAATTATTAGAAATACTTGTCACAAAATGAACAATGTGGATGTTGCAATGTGAAGACAAATGTACAACATAAATATAATTCTGTGGTATCCTGTTTGCTGTGTTTCTTTATCCTTTATTGAACAAACTTTCTTCCGGTGCCTAGCTTTTAGTTTAAGACCCAGACAACAAATGACCTGTAGCCTCTTCAAACTCTGATTGAAATCCAGTAAAGCTCGTATAATATATTGGATTACCATTTTATCTGCCAGCCCTGCTTGGCATGTGTTAGTGACTCATGCTCACATTTATTGTTATCCCATTACCCACAACTTTTACCAGTAGAATTTTGCACTTTATTTTAGATCACTAATAAATCCATGTTAAATACTGTGTGACTCAACCAATCTGAGGAAGGCCTCCTTATAAACATCTTTCTTTAACGTTGACCAATATTTAAACATCCATCATCTGTGTACTTTTCAATCCGATTAGTATGGACCATACTGATTGTCTATATGTAATGTCATATGTAATATATCTATATTACATGGCACTATTCAGCCATAGTAATGCAGAGTGACTAATGCTTCCAGAGGAAATGAAATGTGTTACCTTAACAGTGTCACAGAAGTAAACTGTTGAAGTGGGACATCTGTAAGTGAAATCAATTTTCTTGCAATTATATTGGTAAGTATGCTGTCATTCTTCAGTGAAAGATTTTGCTAGTCCATTATGTGGGCTAGGATTGACATCTAGCTATTTTTTTTTCTCACTGTTTATAATTTTAAAAAAAGTATCTCACAGCTGTCAAAAAATTTCCCCATTTTTTAAGTTTTATTACATACTTTCATCAAAGATCTGGAGAGCTCTTCAGCCAACTCATTTGAAATGGCTGCATACAAATTATCTGGATCAACTGTGTTTTCAAAACCTCTTTAACATAAAATGAACAGATTTCAAAATATGGAAAAGCATCAGTTGCATATCTGGCTGTCAGTTTTGAAGTCCCATCAGTTTATTTGTCCTCTGGTTTAAATTATGAATGGCAAAAATATAAGGAAATGTGCACCAGGAGGTGATTGGGAAGATACTAGTTAGGATCATTGCCAGTACAAAAGTAAAATATGGTTATACCTATTCTAAGGGAGCTGCTTATAAGCCTGCAGCTGGTCTGTCCCAAACACTTAATAACTCCATAGCATGGGATTATTAGAGATTCACTGCTGCCCACAGAGAAGCATGCAAGTGGAATAGCAAAGAAAAACTCTTTTCCTTCAATACTGCTCATCACAAAGAGTAGGGGTTACCAAGGTAAAGAATGCACTTGTCTTTGAAAATCACCAAACTCTCTGGAGCCCTTCAAACAGCAAGAGGTTCCCATGGGAAGAGATGAGCAATAAAACACAGAGAAGCAGTCAATCTGCTAATGAGACCACACATGAGCATGCCTCTCCTGGGGTTCTGCTAGAACATAAAGGAGGACATGACGCACAGTCAGTAGCGGCTCAATTAAATGTTGTGTTTTCCAGGTGGTGTTCAAATTACTTGCCCAGACAAATCCACTTGCCTAAAACTACTTAAAATGTTTCACTAAAAATAGAAAACTTGGAGAACTCTTGGCACTCTGTTTACCAATGCTTTCTTTAATGTTTCTTCAATTATCTCACCAAAATCTTGTGGAAATTCACATTAGCCCTCATGCCACCATGGGCTCCCTGAATATTGTCAGTGATTCAGATAGGGGTAGAACAACAACCACCTTTGACAGATGTGAAACTTCCAGGTGCTACCCTGACGGATGGGGTCTACAGCTCTGGGGTAGCTGTCTTACACAGTCTGAGGGAGGTTTTTAAACACTCCACACTGGGATCCCAAAAACCTGTCATGCTGAAATGGAAACTCTCAGAGCCAGCTACTTTGCTGAACAGCTTCACAGCCAAGGGGTGATACTAAATTGCATTAATTTATGAACTATGGGAGAAAACGTGCAAGTTTGAAGTTTTACCTAAGGTTTTGATGGTTTGTGTACCACCCAATCCAGGCTGCTAGTTTCAATCACTAAATAACATGGGGTAGACATGGTTGTGATGGTTTGGAATTCTGGTAGAGATAAAAGGTTGCTACAACATCTGCTTGTCTGCAGCCAGGAAACGCAAAGCAGAAGGTTCCTGTTTGATCTGCATGATGGCTTCATTTACAGTGACTTCTGTTGTTGCTGGTACATTACTTCCCTTCACAATCCTTTACACATAGTAATTGTTTATTACTGTGCTTGACAAAGGCATCACACTCTACAAATTCAACAACTTTTGTATAATAAACTCTTCTGTTAAATTCTTAGAACCTTCTCTGTCCACATTTCTAGCCAAAATCTTTGGGTTTACACCTACTTCAAATAACATCTCCATTACAGAAAGTGCTATGTCATTTTAATAAGATTGATGGTATTAATCCCAAGTGGATGGACAAATTCCAGTTTCTTTTACTAGGTTCTTCTAAATTAAAGTTCTCCCCAAAGGTCCAGTGGGTACCAATGCTTCCTGCCCTGCAGAGCTATTTCATGTCACTGAATGTGTCATTCATCCTTCTTGTTATACCTCCTCAGAGCTGGTTTTCCCAGGGCCCACTGGGATCTTTGCAAAGTGTGGTATTTGAAATGCTGGGGTTTCAGCCCCAAGCCCAAAATTAAGGTTGACATATGGTGATTCCCACAGCCCTTCACAAAGGGGGGGTGAGTTACCTCTAAGCTTCCTTCCAGGGTGGTGCCGGCCTTGCAGGGAGAGCCATTAGGTAAATGAGCCCCAGGTGTCCCACAT